GTTTCCCCGTCCCATTAATAATAGCTTTAGAGGAACTTGACCTTTTAAAGCCTGCAGTCAAAACTACCGTCAAAATCCATTTCCTTCGTAACGTTGTTACGTTATTTTCCTTGTTGACCGTTCCAACGTAAAATCGTCAAATGAGACGCGCACCGGCGCGATAATTATGCGAATTACGCCTGCGATATCTAATCTGCCCGAGGAAAAAGATTTCTATCTTGACTTCACGATTTTATTGTGTATCGGCGCGTTATCGACGTGCGTGCCGTGATCGGAAGATTGCGAAAAAAGAAACGATTACGCGTCGATAACTTTGCTCGTACAAGTGTGTACACGTGTACGTATGAATATAAATAATAAATAAGAAGTATAAATAACTATACAAACATGCCCTGCAACGTTGTACGGTCGCGAGTACATTTCATGATACGCGAACACGGACGTCACCGACTCTTTTATATCGCATCGATTCGATTTCAAGCGGATTCCCGACTAGATTGGTACTTTACTTCTTCGATAAAGTATCCGGTAAATCGTCGTCATAAGATTTATACGTTTACGCTTCCGACACGATTGTCCTCGACGTCTCGCGGCCTGAAAATCGAGAGACGAAGGGAACGGCCGCGGGATTCTCGAGCGCGCACGGAATACGTCGCATCCTCGATTATTGTTTTGCATCGTTGAAACGCTCCCCCGGGCAACAATTCGCCGGCAGGTCGCCGGAAAAATGATCGCGCGCGTCTACGATGCATTTTTAACTCGATCGTTTTATCGTTCCGCTCGGTCGCTCGTTTGTCCGTATGTTCTCGCTGCGGAGCGTCGCCCCGATAGCTCATTCGCTGGTTCGTTCTATTTTCATTTTTGTTCGTGCACAATCTCTCTAGCCGCTTACGGTACGGTCACGCACATCATACGAGCGACCGCGTGTACACGGAGTGGACCATCGGGATGGGTTTACGGCGGCGAAAGCTAAACGATCAACGGCCCATCTCGCGCGAGGCTTCCGAGGTTAAACACGAAACGCGCGTTTCGAGCGTTGCTGAAACTACCAGGTAAACGCGCTCTTTTCGTCAGTTTTCTCTTTTATTCTATTGGAAATTAACGTGCTCCGGTGGCACACGTCATCGGTCCGTTCGATGTAAACGTTCTTTCCTGTTGATATCATCGGTGTCGTCGGCCATGTAAGGAATGGGATTGAAGCGAAAATTCGTATTTCCGGGGCAGTTTCGCAAGAAACAAGAGTGAGAAATCGCGTGGCGTTGGTACTCTCGATAGGCGGAGCCGAGTAACGGTCGATACGAAACACCCCTCGATGAAAGGATACCCATCCTCGCGTACTCGAGTCGAGTCGAGTCGAATCGAGTCTCATCCTCACCTCCTACTTCATCGGTTCCTATTTCTCTTCGCCCCTTCTGTCCCTTTAACCCACCGAACATCCCGCTTAGTCCCTCTCCCATCTTTCCAGACCAAAGGCGAAATAAGTTCTCGCGGCTAGGAATATTCGTTGCAACTCGTTAGGAACGCCGCCGATTCCATCATCTTTGTAACGACCGGAAGAAAGGGGTGCAACTTTGATCCATCCTCGGCCGGTATTCGCGATCGACGCGAAGAACCAACGGAACAAACGCGAAAGACGAGCATCGCCAGCCCGTACTCTCAGAGACCACGATGATGTTGTCAGTTGGGAGTTTGGCATGAGCGAAGCGCGAACGGAAAGCAACCCCCTGTCAACGAATCGATACCCGGATGGGCGTGGTCTCGTCGATCTTCCTAGATACTATTACGAACACTAAATCCTTCGACGACAAACAATATTCGAACTCGACTCTCTGTCCTCCTTGCGAGTTCGAACAGGTTTCGGAGCAACGCGTCCACTCGAACCGAACGCTTCGCGATCGAGACTGCTGGCTCGATTCGTACCAGCGAAATCCGATTGACCGTTGAACGCGTTATCTCCTTTAATTCCCGCACGCGAATTTGACCGACGATTATCGCTCGTACGTGCGACGAGACACGGAAGACACGGAAGTCGTTGGATACTACTACCCCCTTTAGTACGTTTATCTGGCGCAAGCTGCGGCCTTTTACTTTCCACGATCGCCAAACCGTTAGCTTTACTGGCCCGTTGCAATTTTGTGGCTCAATCGTCGCGTTCTCCCTCTTCCCTTCTCCCTTTTTCGCAATTTCCTCTGCGCCGCGGCCCGGCGTTCCCTCGGTTCCGGTGAATCCGTAATCCCTTTTGCTTATCGAGCTGTATTTTCGATGCGTTTGTTTCGATGCAGCGGGAAACGAGGCGAGGAAGACGGAAATCGAGGAAAGTGTCGGATCGTCGGGGACAATTTCGAGGAAAAATCAGATCGCGTTTCGTCGGGCGAGGCGCGAGTGGAGCAACGCGAGGGAAACGTGCAGACACGACCGCGGCCAAGGAGAGCTGCAGGGGTTAGGGGACGGAAAGCGAGGAGCAGAGTATTCGCGGCATGTGGTCTCGTCAACCCCCTTCTCGATCCTTTTTCACTCGTTTCTCCCCTCTTGTTGGTCCGCCTTTATCCACCATCTATCTCGCAGCAATTTCGTACTCCTGTTCTTATCGCTCGGACCGAATTTCCCTCGAAGGTTTCAACTTCCCTGCCCCGCGCCCCTTGCACGTACAAATACTAATTTCCCCGTGCAAACGTTCGTAATATACTTAACGCGTTGAGTGTTATAACGGTCACTGATCGCCTAACATAGCGAACTGTTTGGGAACAATTGTTATAAGAGGATTAGCGTCGAGTAAATGTATTTACTCATGAAAATTACTGAATAACAATGAACTACGAACTTCGAAGTAAATGTAAAATAACATAATAAATGAATGTAAATTCAGAATATATCTAGAAAAATGCAATTACGATGACAAATGTTTTTTTTTAGGAATATTATAGAAACCGCTGCACTTTGGATATTTTGTATGTTTTTCGTGTCGCGTAATTTCCGTGCAATTCTGCACTTCTGGATTTCCCATAAACGCATAAACATTCGCGGTCCATGCATCGCACAGTCGGTGTACAATTGGTCCCGAATTGGTTAAGCCGCATTTAGGAAACTGAAACGAGATAACATCCTCGCCAACCGAATGAATAACAGTTTAGCGGAACGACGAGGATCGAGCCATCGATGGAATGAACTTTACTTCCACCCCGAAACCTCCTGTCGCTCTTATTCCGACAAAGAGGGATGAAAAAGGACGAGTAAAAGGTAAAAAGTGAAGATGATCAAACGTGAAATGGATCGCGGAGTGATTGTACAAATAGAATACAAATAGAATTGCGAAACAAATGATGGGACGGGGAACGAGTTTGAAAAACAGTTCCTCCGTTATCATGAAACTGCTTTGTTCTTCTCCCTAATACCATGCGCACGTCTGTGTAAGTACATGCTTGATGTGCACTTTCCAGGAAATGAACGTTAGCACATTCAGACCGAAGTTTCTCTATGAAAGATGACCCCCAGCATTATTTTTACTTATATTAAAAATTTCGAAAATGAAACATTCGAAAGATGAGAAATTAATCCTCTGCACTCGGAAGCTTTTCACTAGAAATATTCTACACTTTCCAATGAAACTCAGACGACACTATCTGAAACGAATTAACGAGAAAACATACGTAAATTAAGAAACAAAGCTATTTTACATAAATGTTTCGGATATGGATGCATTATACGAAACTTGATATCGCATATAACACTTTGTAATTTTGTTATATCGAATCGAGTGACCGAGAGTCACCTCTCGAGTGCAAGGAGTTAAAATTGTAGATAAACCAATGCAAACTTGAATTTTTCCTCTGAAAATAATTTCATCTCCGTACCTAGTGCAATTAGGTGTAAACGAGTGAAATCTTTAGGAATTCCGATGTAACCGTTCCCTTTGGGTTGTTTGGTAACTAACAGTTCTCTATGTCGGCATAGCGAACGTCCCATAAAAAATCCTCCCAGGCAGATTGAAGAAGAAATGTTTGTCAATATAACGGTGAAGCGCGAGATAATGCCAGCAATCTCTAACCGGACAGAGGGGAAGGTAAAAGGTTACATTGAAAAAATTGTATCGGTACGTTAGGTACCGAACATTTTGGTTACGTTACTGAACAAGTACCCTCTAGCGGTAGTATTCGACGAGTTGCTAGGATACACCCTTGGCTCGAACCCCCACAGTTAGGCTGTCAGTACTTGTTCAACTACTTTTGCTTTATATTTCCAAGGACTGCCTACTACGCATGGACTCCGAAACAAATCTCTAGTGAACGCGTCGCGCGGCAGCTAACCGAGTCGAACGGAAGATTCTACGATGCAGCTGTTGCCTTTTGTAGCCGTTCGAACGGCAAGATCAAAACAGTCGAAATGTTGCGTGCCGTTGCGTCTCCGCTTTCGAACCACGCTTCGAGAAATTATTTCTCCGCGACGTCCCCGTTTCACAGCTCCCTTTTAACCTCCCATAATATTCGTAAGGGGTACTAAGAAACTGGTAGACGTTCTCGGCGAAGATATCAAAAGGAATCGGTAAGACGTTTCCGGTCAAAGAAGATCAAGTGCATCGGCACGGCTTCTGTTTTCGATTTCTGGTCACGATAACTGGATTTCGGTAGAAATTATTTTGACGAATGCACAAGTTCTTTTGTTTGTTCAGTCCAAGTCGATTATCGGTATAAACATTGTCGTAGCGTTTAGGCTTGAACGGTAGTTAAATTAGACCATAAACATGATTCGTGATTTAGAATGTTTCAAATGTAATTGTAATTAGATGTAAATGGGGAAACTGGAAATGCTTGATTTCTAATTGAGTGTTTGATTGGCTGCTCGTTTTCGCGCCTCGAGTATCTTCGATATGTAACTAAGTTCAAGTATATATAATATAGTGCGACGTAACATAGTATGGTAATTACACGTTTACGTACTTCGCTTGCCTTGTCAGCGGCAATGACATTTATCGAAACGAATGTATAAATGAAAACGAACCTTACCGTTTCTCTTGAAAGACCGGAAATTGCCTTAGAGTTCCCAATAGTGACATCTTCCGTACTTAACACGAACTTTCCTTCCAAATACGTACCGGTTTACTCGGCAACCGGTACTAACCCAGAACACTACATGAAAACCACATATCACACACTGTAAACGACCGTTTCGTATCCGTACTACTAGAATATAACAACGACACAAATAAAAACTACTAAAAATCGACGAGCTTGAAAATTTCGAACCAAACTAATCGTAAATACACGCACAAAATGGCAACTCACAAATCTATCGTCTCTGTGCGTTTACAGAACTGCCGTAAACACTTCGTAGTCAAATTAATGACTTCATACCGAAGCTTATTTTTTTTTGCTTTGTTAACCTTTCGAGGGATAACATGGTCATTTAAATAACGTAGGAATTTTGTTCTTCGAATGTCGTTGATATATATTAAAGACTTGAATTATTATTGCGTTGCGTATTTAAATTGACTTGGTAGATTGAAATCCGGTAATCACTGGCCGAAGCGCCACCACTGTCATGGCCTTTTCCTGTTCACGCTTACTCCAGCGAAGACGTGAACGTAAGTAGTGTGGTAAGAAATTCGGATGTTCCACGAATTTTCCTACCGGTCGTGTAAGAAACAATATCTTTGAAACATTGGAAATGTGTAAAGATTGTCAGTGATTGTAAATGTATTCTTACATTTCACAGTATATGAGTCGAGAGTGTTGCTACCGTCCGTATAACCACATGGCCACATGTTTTCACGATTTCCATACATTTCGTATCAACAAGACTTAAGAAATGTGTTTCTCGGATAAAATTTCAGTCTCTGAGCAAATAGTATTTCATATGTGTGCTACATTTGCGAAAGTTCTACGAAGTATCGCCATCCAATACAAGTTTGTGATTCGGTTATACAAATTTTACGCTTATTTTTTAGTTGAGAATACGTTGCGTTCATTGACATCTGACACAAAGAAACTTTATTTACTGTTTTCGAATCTATTCCTGATCAAAACGCTAATATTATGATCATCATTTTATTTTTGATTTCATTTATTCATAAACAACAATACATTCTCACACCTAAACAGAACACTGCTTTCATCACTGAGATGCATTATATTTGTCGAATTCAGATGTTTCCATTTCAGATAGTTTTCTTTCGTTTGTTATACGTAGTTAGATCTTCAGTAAATTATTCTGTTTAATAAAAGATGATTTACACTTTACAGATAAATCATGGCAGACATGGAAGCGTTTGACGATGCAGTGGTGCCCACTGCAACAACATTACAAGTGACACTTTCTGCCGAATTACCAGAGATTAAGTTATTCGGCAGGTGGAATTGCGATGATGTACAGGTGAATGATATGTCACTGCAAGATTATATTGCCGTTAAAGAGAAGAATGCAAAGTATCTTCCACATTCAGCTGGGCGATATGCAGCGAAACGATTTCGAAAAGCTCAATGCCCTATAGTGGAACGTCTAACAAATTCACTTATGATGCATGGTAGGAATAACGGCAAAAAGTTAATGGCAGTGAGGATTGTAAAACACGCCTTTGAAATCATCCACCTCCTCACAGGCGACAATCCTTTGCAGGTAAATAATAAATACCACCATTTATCATTTCATTCATGTCTGTTTTTTATTGTCGATGTATAACAATTTTTTTTATGATTTTCATCAGGTTCTCGTGACAGCCATCATTAATTCTGGACCAAGGGAAGATTCTACACGTATCGGACGTGCCGGTACAGTTAGGAGACAAGCAGTGGACGTGTCTCCATTGCGACGCGTTAATCAAGCGATTTGGTTATTATGTACTGGAGCTAGGGAAGCTGCTTTCCGTAATATTAAAACAATCGCAGAATGCCTAGCCGATGAACTCATCAACGCTGCCAAAGGCTCGTCAAATTCCTATGCGATCAAAAAGAAGGACGAACTCGAACGTGTCGCAAAATCGAACCGATAAACACTTTTTTTCGTAAAAACATACAAATAAATGTTCCATCTTTAAATAGATTTCCTTATTACCACAGATCCTTATTAAAAGTTCTAATTACCATTAATCATGGTGAGTGATTACGACATGCGTCTAAACTTGAAATATTTCTTAATACTGCTTCTAAAAGGACCGAGCAGATATACGAGAGTGAAATTTATATTAGAACCTTTGGTCATAATCGATACTTTCATTACTTGGTCTACTTTACTGAAAAAAGAAAAGATTCTATTTTTGTAATGCATACGTCTCGATATTGCGGTGTTCGGTAATCGTGTTAATGAGATACAACTAATACGCGCATGCGTATTGGAGATTAGTTCTAGTAAAATTTAATATTTGCTACTATGAGTGCCCTTTATAGGGTGACAATATTTTACGTATGTGTATAAGGATATGAAATTATTAAAAATTTTTAACATATCAAATAATGTGAACTAGTAAATAGTTTAACAGTATTGGAAGGCATTTTTCATTGCCGGTACTTTTGCATCTGTTTAAAAATGGAGCATTCAACCATGGAATATAACGGTGTAAGAAAGAGCTCTGCCAGTTCGGGATTACTTTAAATTGCGCGTGGTGAAATAGCTTTTTATTTTGACCGATAGTGCACTCGTATACACTCTTGTTTGTTATTTCATGGTAGTATAATAATAACAGTGTCACTAATGGAGAAGTACATTGCCGAATCGAGTTGAGTGTATAGTTTGTCGAAAGGTGAATCGCATAATCGGTTATCTTTGGATTTGAATCACGACAACGATCATGGCCCAGGCACTGAAGAAGGTAAAGTATCCGTAAACATCGATGACGACGAAAATAGTATTTAGAAACCGTCGATTTATCTTCGATCGAGGGGTTTTGAAAACATAACCATTTCGATAACAATATACCGTTGGGATTTATTTATGGTACGTATTTTGACAGTGTATTACTATTTTAGACGACAGGAATAACGGGTCTTGCTGTCTGCCACAATCCCCATATTGTGTTAACGGATCTGTACGCAAGAATTTTGCGTATTGTGACTCACTTTCCGGAAGAATCAGCTTATAAAAGACACACAATGAAGCTCGTTCAAGAAAGGGATAATATCGTGCGTAAGGTAATGTTTCAAAGTTTCCTGCAACGCTTAACTGTCTCTTCTCTTGGAAACATAGTAACACACTATCAGACGACTCATTTTAATTTTGCAGACCAAGAACGTAGCAGACATAGAGGAGAAAATAGGCTGTGGACAAGTGGAGGAGCTAATAATACAAGCGAAGAATGAGCTGAGCCTCGCAGAAAAGATGAGACTCTGGAAACCATGGGAAAGCCTGGTAGAGGAATCTCCTCCTCATCAGTGGGATTGGCCGCCACACAAATAATTTAAATCCGATATAGGAGATTTGTACATAGAGTTGAAACAATAGATACCTAATCGCTTATAAGATACCTTTAATTAACATATGTATATCGTATTCGACCGGCGCATTGAGATCAGCATAAAAATCTGTTCCAGAAATAAATCTAAGTTTTCGCAACTGTAGCTGGCTATTTAGAATGAATGTTAATTGGCACCAAAACGAAGAGTTGTTAGGTTAGAAAGAGGAATATAGGCGAAGATGAAAAGAGAGCAGAGAGAAGATCCAGCGGACGCGCGAGTCGAGCGTGCATCCCGTTCGAGCGAGAAGCGATTCTTGAATAGAAGGCCTGGCATCGAATGGAATGCAGAGAGGAAGGAGTTTCAGGGTGGAGATAGAGAGGGGCAGCGCGACGCGATGCGTTCCGCGGTAGTGGGGAATAGGCCAAGATAGGTAGGAGTAGGTAAGCAAAGTTAGAACGAAGGTAGGAGAATGGTTTTTAAGCCGTGGATCGCGGATTTGCTGGTGGGGATTCGAGGGTCGCCGTTCAGTCCTGATTTCGCGTCGCGCTCGCGAATAGGGAACGGCCGATTCGCACTCCCCTTCGAGACGTCGAGCATTCGAATCGTTGTTCCGTTCCCCGTTTCCGATTTTTATTCTCTTTTGTTTTCCTTCCCTCCTCTCCTCCTCCTCCTCCTCCTCCTCCTCCTCCTGTTCCTCCTCCTGCTCTTCTTTCTTCCTCGTTCTCAGTCTCCGCGTATTTCGAATGTTTCCGCTACTTTGACCGACAGCTCCGTCCCGACGACGGCAGATAGGAAAAGGCGATCCGTCCGCCGTTGCTTATTCGAAAGTAGGCCCGATGGTATCCGAGTCATCAGGCACAGTACCGTAAAACAGACGTCCAAGTGTCGTGACAACGCGCACCCGAGGAATTCAGTTTCGAGCGTGAGTGCGAAAGAGTGTTTGCGAAAACATTGTCGCATCGTGGATAACTTGCCGCGGTGATTGTTCGATCGCCGATTCGTCCTTCACTCTGATCGGGAGCAACATACCAGCAAGGCATACCGATGAAACTTTGAACGATCGATGGATCACGGTGAACGACGGGACACGCTGAGAAGAGAACAGCTGCGGCGAGCCGTTGGAATCGACGATCGGTGTGTAAAATCGACGAATTTCGCGTTGCGATTCCCTTCGCGATCGTGGATCGTTCTTACTTTCCCTTCGCGAAAGAAACGCGAGGAAGGCGCGGTTACTGGCTCGAAGTCGAACCACCGATTGCGAGTGTTCGCGAGCCGGAAACGGAAGCGAGAACACGCAAGATTTCGCGGCGGGAAACGTTACTCGAGGAGGACCTTCTCGAAAGCGTTCTTCGAAGGTGTCTTTCGCGTTACCAACGTCTTCATTTACTCGCCGGCGATCGGTACCCTTATTTTCGATTTTCTTCCGATTCTCTCTCTCCTTATTTCGAGTTCTGCGTTTGTCCCGATGCTGTCTCTTTCTTATCGGTTCTTCGATAAAACGATAGTCCAGGATAGCACGGAAAAGACAGAAAGTACGGATGGGAGTTAGGAAGGAACGGTGAGCGAAATCGGAAGAAGGTTCACGCGGCGTGACGTCGACCCGTTATGTTCCGCGCGCTCGACGTTCCAGCTGCTAGCAAAACCGCGCGCGCGAGCTTTGTTTACGCCCGATCTCGGCGGAGGAACTTCCAAGGTTCAATCAACCTCGAAGAATCTGCCGCGCGATGTTCTGGAAACCGAGAAAACGTGTTCTCGACAGTCCTCCTCGAAGCGATTGTCGGTTATGGTCGTTGTTGCCGCAGTCGAGCGGAGCCTTAACGCGCATTCCAGAAGGCGGGGCTTTCGATTTTTCTCCGCGAGAGCTTATATCATCGCCGGAACACTTCGCCGGAACGAGCGTACATTTCTAACAGTGTTTTCGAGTTCGAGCAGGTTTCGTCATGCTGGAAGAGCCAGCCTTCGCCGAGAAAATTGCGAGACCGGTCTGCCTCCATTGCGCGGGTTCCTTTCTTACCGGTTCGCGGCTGCTGTTCTGTCGCTGGACAGCGGATTCTACGCGTGTACAAACACGAGTACACGGACTTGTGTAGAATTGAACGATATTGTGTTACCTGCAGCTCATTGACACGTTCGCGGACAGTACAGACTTTAATGAGCTGCAGAAACTACTAAAATGCAATCCAAGAGTTAAAGTGCGTAATAATTTCCAAAGATTGAAGCTATATAGAATTATATGCATGTGACTTATAATTCTGAATGTTATCCATGTCATTTTGCATCGCATTGAAAATGAATGCTGCAGCATTCACGTCCGCGAACGTGTTAAGGTTCTTCAAAGATGTAACTACTTTCCGTCTAATCCTCGTTTAAATCGTTTTAGGAAGTCTCTTTCGCACGGAGATCTCTATTGTCAAGGATAGAATAGATCGAACTCCTGAATACCATAAAATTCATCCCCTAAACGGATGGTCCTCTCCGCACGCTTCGCGCGAACGATCGAGCGAGCAAATTTGCAGCACCGAAGGTAGCGCACGCAACGCGCAACGATAAAACGGGCTGGTCCTCCGCCGTTCGCGGAACTCACACGCGCCGCGAGCTTTCGCCCGGCTCTTAATTTTTAATTAACGCGACGGTGTCTCACGCGCCGCGGGACCACCGTCTTTCTCTCGTTCACCGGCTCCCCCGAGAGCGCGCGTCGTCCTCTCGGTCAGCGAACCGTCGCGATGCATCGCGCGCCGACTCGATCCCCTTCGTTTCGCGAGACCGTCATCCCGTAAGATCCGCTCCGCGGCCGCGTGCCACGGGAAACCGGTAGAAGAGAAAGTCCCGACGAGCCGCGCGTCGAACGTTTTCGGGAGAACGTCTTCCACGTAGCTCGCCGCCCGCGTTCGCGCGGACGCGCTCGAATTTCAGCCGCGGTCCCGCTGGAACCGCGACCGTGCGCGCGGGCAACTTTCACCTTTCGTTGATTCGCGCCGTTTCTCCGTTACCGACGAGGACTCCCCTTCGCATCCGCTGTTCTACAATGCGTTGCGACACCGTCGACCAGCAGGAAGGTGTATCGCGCCGATCAAAGGCCTAGATCGGAGTGGAGGCTTCAAGGATCGAGCGAGGATCCTCCTCGAAACGCTCGTCTCTCCCTCGTTTCGTCTGTCTTTCTCGTTTCTTATTAGAATTCTCATTACGCTCGAACGGTTCCCCGTAGAATCATTATCAATATTACCGGTTCCTCGATAAAAACACGGGAATTCACGATTCGCAGCGCCGTGCGACGCGCGATCGGCAGTTTTCCTCCGCGCGGAAGGCACGGTTCCATTTTCGCGTCGCTTTCCTTTTGCTCGTTATCCTTTCCCGCGGTCCCTAATCAGTCCTATCATTGTAATAAAGGTTCGCGCGGCTGCCTGTTCCGCCGCCGCCCCCCGCCCGGTGCTTTCCGTTCTCTCCTTCTTTCGTTCAATCGTTGCCCTCGCCGCGCCGCGCCGCGACCCGCCTCGACTCGCCTCGACTCACCTCGGCTCGCAGCTTTCCTTCCGCATACCGAAATTCCTGTGAAACTGTGCTCAGCCGATTTCTATCAACGACGGGAAACGACGCGAAACGACGACGAGCGGACCACGGGAAACCGCGCGAGAGCTGGGCCCGGCCGTCGCGGCGAGCCCGCGGATCGTTTGAATCTTATTATTCCCATGCGATCGGCAAAAATCTATGATCCAGTCGAACGAAGCGCATGCGCGCAGGTGCGAAAGAAATGGGTGCGCCACGGTGCACTTGCGCGACTGCGCCTGACCCACATGCCTCGCGAATAAAACTCATCCGTACTGGTTCTTGACAACCTGCCGTTCTCTGCCCCACTCTTGTTCCTCTTCCTCCTCTTCCTCCTCTTCCTCGTTTTTCTCCACGTCCTCGTCTTCATCTGTACGCACTTTGTATAATTGTCCCGTTCCTCCACTGTTCGAGTGGCTCGGCATCGCGATGCTCTAACTTCGATCCCTCTGTTCTCGAGGGAGACGGCGATATTTTTGAATTAACTCTTAGCGCTCCAGACGGTCTTGTGATCTACCGACAAACTCCTGTTTTCATAATACCCCTAGCGGACATTGAAAATGTTATATAAAATTTCTCAGATCTTATTTCCCTCAATACAACAAAATTCAGATATGTGGGAAATCCAGTAATCTTAGGATAGTTTCTATAAATCGACTCATTGAAATACTTTATACTATAACTGGTATCGTAGTGGAGCTTACAGAGTGCAAGGGGTTAAATATGCTATTCGTATCCATCAATAGTAATTCTGAGTTTAATCTGGGTTAGTCGAATATCTCGCAGAAAGTAGCTGCCTTGTCTCCCGGAAACGAGAGATTTCATTTACGCGACTAAACAGGTTTCTCGTGGTTTTCCCTCGTACGCGTCGAACAGAATGAAACCTCATTTCCCAAGTACAAAGAGCACACCCGTGGAACTGTGAAAAATGAAAGGATCGCTGCATCGTGATCGAAATACGTTTTTGTGACCATCGGTTCGTCCACGAATCGGTCCACGATGAGCCGAGCACACACGAACCAGAGCTCTCGTCTCGCGGCCCGTCTGGTCCCGTTTCGTCTGATCGTCTCTTTACGCAACACCGATCTCTAGAAACCTTCCAAGGGAATGTAGGTCGTAGAGATCGGCGCGTCTCCTCCTCGAGTACGCGCGGACACTCGCTGTCCGGTATTTGCATTAGACGTGCACGCGCGCGCGTTCCCGATCGTTACACCTGTGCAGGCGCGCGCGGCGAGTTTCGATTTTCCTCGATCGCCGCCGGGCCGAGCTCGCCGATCGTTTCCGCGTCCCGCCGCGTGCGCCGGCCGAGGACCGGTTCCGGCGTGCCGGGTTCGTTTGCCGACTTTCGGAATTTTTTTACTGGTTCCGTTCGCGGAACCTCGTTGAACGAATTTCGGTCATCGAGACGCCACGGGCCGTGGTAACGTCGAAGAAAGCGACGGGGACGTAAAAACGGGCTGATGGCAGCCGCGGCTCGTCCGCTCTCACCGGATTTACCGGATCTCGAGCTCGTCCGCGCCCCAGGAAGACTTTCTTTTTCGCGTAAGGACCGCGACCTCGATACAGCCCGATCGTCGTCGAGTTGCTCGATTTAACCCTTCGCGCTCGAGAGCGTTCCCGCTACGGGGAAACCGAAGGATCATCGACGATAAGTTTTGCGAGGAGAAATCATATGTAAATCAACTCATCGGAGAGGTCTCTCTTTCGAAACGGATCGCTGCGCGAGGATCTCCCTTAGCAACGCGTTGTCTATTAAATTATATACTCCTTTCGTTATTCGATCAGTGTCGAACCGGTGTTGCAACTGAAAGCTGCTATGTCTCCGAGAATCGTATCATGGACGTACGTTTATGGCTGTGTGAACAGGCTAATTAACGCGGATGTTTGTAATATTTTGCAGTGCTATTGCAGACAGTTTAGTAGAAAGCATGTAATCCTGGAATTCCACGGTGGTGACCGAGGATCGGCGAGCGAGGGGTTAAAAGGCGAGACGGCGGTGACGTCGTCGATAACGAGGAACAGAACGCGGACGAGACCGCGGGTGAATCGCAACGGTGATGCGCGTCCGAGCAACTTTCTCTTCGACTTTACGCAATGACGAGTTTTTCCGTTTCGAGATGAGGATTGATGGTACCGCGCGGAGGAGGGAGGTCGGCCGGGGCGAAGCAGGGTGGGGCGCGACGGTACGCCGTCGTAAGCGGCCGTTCTCACCACCGCGCGCCGCGTTTCTGTCGTGGATCGCGCGCTCGAAGGGAAAGCGAGTCGATTCGAGAGCACCACCGCTCGTCCCGGCGAATCGACGGTCTGTCGATTGATCGCGCAGCTAGAACCGATTCAAAACCGTTAGATAGAACCCGTTATCGCCGGTATCTCGATTGGTCCCCGCTTCGCTTCGCCACGTTTCGTTTCGCTGTACTCCGACGGCCTGCTAGTAGTAGACAGCGGGAACGGCTGGAGCGGATAGATCGCGTGGAACTCGCCGTCGAAGCGGCCGCGGCCGAAACATATACCGGAACGAGGTTGCGCGGTGAAATTCTCGAATTGTTTAGTCCGATTTCGCGGGAGAACCCGTTAGGGTACCATGTGAATCCGAATGAGGGACAACTGACTGACACGGAGAAGGAAAAGGAAGAAACGTAATGAGAACAGTATATTAGACGTTGATGTACTTCATCAAGTTGATACATCGTTGTCACTAACGATCGGTTCATTGAATTTCATTTCGTTCTTTCCGTTTTCATGGTATTTTCTTGCTTGTTTTTCATACTAAAAGGGATATCCCGTTAATAGATGCTTATCGCAGTTACGATAATTATCAGAGAAATAATTGAGAGATTCAACTAGCGATTTTTATGCGACAGGTGCAAGATGGAGGAGGAGTCTCGGATCTCCTAACGGGTTGACAACGCGACGAACTCCAGGATGGGCAACAATGGAAGCAGCAACCGGAACGAACAGACCGCGTCCAACCGTTCGAACGGGCTGCCGATTCCGGATGCGAACCGCGGCTGGTCCCAGTCGTTTCCGCGTGAGCTTGCTAAGCATCGGTCTCCGGCGAACGGAGCGGCGGCGGTGGCGGCGGCGCGAAAGGTCCTGCCGGAGCCACCCAACCAGAGATTACGCGCCACCGACAACGGCAGCATCATCCAAAACGGCGGGACCATAAGCGGTCGCAGAGCGTCGACGTACGCGTCGTCGCGCGACCTCTCCAAGGTAAAGCGTGCGACACCGGAAACGAGAACGAAAGATTCGCGTGTATCGAGAACACATTGACAAAGGAATTAACGCGACGAGTTACAAATCGTGTGAAATTTCGTGGACCAACGGTGACCTTCGCATCTGCCGGTCGTATTTGTGCAGGAATCGATCGAGTTAGTTGATAAGTTGACGTGCCAATTCAACGAGTGCTTGATTTCAGCGTGACCGCTTCGGCGAGGGCCAGTTCCGCTGCAGAAGCACTTCGGCGTCGCGCGTCCCGGAGCCGCGGTCCACGAGGATCGAACGAGCCTGCTGTCGCTACCAAGCCGACGCGATTCGACGGCGATCGGACGCGGCCGCCGACCTGAAGAGATTCGGCAGCGAGCCCGACTTGCGTTACTCGGCCGAGTCACAGGTAGTGGATCATCAACACTTCTAACTGTAGAGAACAACGTGAATCTCTTCGAGTAGGAATCAATATCCTTCAACTATTCGTTGTCTTGAATTCTTGCGCGTCGACGAGGATACGTAGCCTCTGAACTTTACGAAAACCTAAGAGTTGGAGTATCGAGACCTATTCGAAGCGATTCAAATTTCGACCGTGTTGGAAACGTCCTGTTTGCAACTGGGACTCGAGTATCTACCACTGATCGCAGGAGTCCCGGACGAACGCCGGATATCCGATGACCGGCGAAGAGGACCGCCTGAGCAACCGCCGCCGGCTGGACAGAGACTACAAGGATCGCGTGGATAGCAGGTACAGAGCTAGGAAGAAGTACAAAGCTCCAGCACCGCCGACCACGCTGCTCGACCTCGGCAACGACTCCGTCTCGACCTCGATCTCTACCTCGATGTCGGCCTCGATGCTGGCCGGGCCCAGCGACCTCGAGGTTCCCTACGGCCGCGAACGCGACGTCCAACCGCCCCCTAGGAAGTCTCGTCTGTTCAAAACCCGGGCCGAGACGAAGAAGGCTAGGGTCGGCTGGCAGCTGTCCGGCTACGACGGACAGAGGCGTCCGCTGCGAGTGGAGCCCGCGCACCAACACCGGTGCCGTCCCGACGACGAGAGCGCGCGCGCCGCGGAGGATTTCGCACGCGGACGCGCCGAGCACCAGCGACCGGCGGATCAGTACGACGGGAAGAACACGCTTCGGCGAAGCGTCAGCAGCCCCGAGTTCCAGGCCGAGCTGATCCAAGTAGCCAGGAGAGTCCGCGACAAGCTGGCGTGCGCCAGCGGCGCCGCGATCGCTAATCATCCTCATCCGATCAGCGGCGAGGCGAGATCGTTGGAGCGCCGGTACGAATCTCCGGACGACCGTGCACCCGATCGTCTCTTTGAAACTGCCCGCGAGCGCTCGGAAGCGACTGGCCTGAGCCGACCCGAGGTCGAGACCGAAACGGACAACGAGAACGAAGACGTTAATCAGAGTTCGAAGACTCGGCACCGGCGGACCGACGAGCGAACCAACGAACAAACGGACGAACGATTACCTAGAGGTTCTAAGAGCGACGAGAAGATCAATGGTTCGAACTTCGAGTTATCCAGCGCTGATCAGGGGTCGGTAGACTGTGCAGCCCGTCGTCGGTCGAATCCTGACGTTCGCAACGATCGGAACGTGTCCGACGGTTCGCTGGCAACACGATCGAAAGAAGCGGTGGACGGTCGGGGTTGGGTGCCAGGAAGGATCGAGCGACGGCTCGGGGACAAGGAAAATCTGGATCCCGGTCGGTGGAACGGCGCGATCGACCCGGTAGATCCGACGAACGGTGTGCAGAGGTACCTGGCTGATGATAAGTGCGAGCCGACGCTTCCGGAGGAACGACGAGAGTATCAACAACCGTGAGTGTCGTATCCGTTTTGCCAGTTGCTGCGCGACGATGGTTATTACATCGTTTCGTTATGAATCATTTTTCATTTTCTGTTTGTTTGTATTTGATATTGGTGAGATGAATGAGTAACTGAATCGGTAGGAATGTCGTGGCCACACGCCACGCACCGAAGACCTTCTACTTCGGCATGAACGAGCTGTTGGTGTCCTCGAGCGAATCCCGTCGCAGGCTGGACCAGTCGAAATTGGAGAAAAGGGAGAAGCGGGAAAAGCGAGAGAAGCGGGAGAGGCGAGAGAAACGGGAGAAGAGGACCGAGTTCCGAGACGAAGAGAACGGCAGATCTTCCATGGAGACTGCCGAGGACACCGATGACACCTCCGTGAGTGGAAACTGTCGGGTTGCTCGAGCTTGTGACCGTTAGACAGCGTTTTCCTTGTATCTTTGTTTCGCTGTGCTTCAGGGGCGCAACGTCGCGGAGGACATCTCGCTGCAACTGCGACCGACGCTGCCGAAGAAGCAGCTGGAGATTCCTAGGTTCTCGCCGTCCGCTGCCTGGAGGTTACTCTCGGCAATGGAGACGCCGGGACCCAGCATGAGCACTGCCAGCGAAGAAATGCCGGTTAGCGTTCGTTCGTTCGATTCGTCTACCATTTCGCTAGAGAAATGTCTCACGCGAAACATTTATGATATTGTCACCTCGAGTCTCACTCGTGATGACTAGTGAGGCTTGTCGAAGTGCACGGTATTAACAGGACGGCAGCAATGCTGTATTCTACATAAAGAAAATTAAATTAAATATTGTTATTTAAAGTTATAGGGTACAGCATTATATTCGGAGACTCAGTGACTCGCTTCAGTTCCATTTCTTCAATATTCCGTTTAGATGTGTCGAATAGAATATTACGAACGTCACCGAAATAGACGCTGGTAGTGAACGTGTTAACGTCGTTCTTATTCCAGATAATGTTCGAGGAGCGAATCGAGCGGCTCTCGAGGCCACCGCCCCCGCCGCCTCCGCCGCCGCCTTTGCTGGCGCTGGGTCCTCGCAGCTCCCACGACAAATCAGGAGATTCCGGAATATCCGGCGACGCGGGGGCAGGCAACGAGGACTCGTTGGACGTGAGCACGATCAACCGAGTGAAGACGTCCGCGACGCGGCCGACTTGGACGCCGCAGCAAGACCTCGGCGAAGAATCGAGCAGCGACGCGGGGGTGGATTCACCTTCGCCGTTGCCCGTCCCCTTCAAGTATCCTCCCCGAGCGCGCGTCTTCTCGCTCTCGCTGCCCCGCGAGGATCCACGGTATGGGACGCACTTCGTTGCCCCCGAAACGAAGACGAGGGAGCAGCTGTCGACCTTCAACTCGCTGAAGAAGCTGAAGAGATCCGTGTCAGGGGCGTTCGGGATCGGCGCGCACGAGCTCCGGAGGAAGCACTCGCACGACGCTCTCGACGACAACTGGTTCTTGTCGACGAGCGCGCCGACCTCTTTGCAGCACGGCCAGTCGGCGGAGACGACGACGAGGTTCGCGTCCTCTTGCTGGAAATCGATCGTCGCTCGCGAACGCGGCCACGGCAACAGCCGCGAGGAGAGGTTCGTCGTCGGCGTGAGGACCTATCGCGACACCGAGTTCGACGGCGACGGGGACGGCGACGCCGACGACGACGACGACGAGAACGACGACAACGAAGACGACGACGAAGAGGAGGAGGAGGAAGTGGAGGACGAGGACGACGACGAGGACAGCGACGAGAACGAAGAGAAGGAGAAGAGCAAGGAGAAGAGCAAGGAGAACGAGGAGAAGATGAAAGAGTTCGTGGATGATTTCCCTGTGGCGCTGAAGCCACCGTCCTTCTCGTACCTGTCTCCGGGCGGACACGTGATGTACCTGCCGGAGACGAACGAGGGCGCGAAATACTCGGCTCACGATCGAATCGAGAGAGAGATCGGTGTCGACTACGAGGAGACGAAGGCAGTGGAGAGACGCGTGCACGCGGGTAGCCGTGGCACGCGCGATCGGTACATCTCGAAGCGACGGTCGAGGACCGTAGAGGCCGTAGAGAATTCCGCGGGCGAGTCGAAACAGAAACGAGAGCCACTCGCTCGAGAATCCAACAATTGGTCCGGCAATGGAGAATCGTGCTCGTTGAAACAGTCGAAGCAAACGAAGGAGGAGAAGGGGACGAAAGACGCGAAGGACGCGAAGGAAACGAAATCGCAAGGGAAGAGCGGCTCGAAGAGCAAGCGGTTCACCTTCCAGTCGACGGTCAGACAAATAGAGAGGCGCAGGTTGGCCGAGAAGCTGTCGAGGGAGGCCGAGGCGAAGGAGCGGCAGAGGAAAGGGGAGCTGGAGGCCATGAGGAAAGTGGAAGAGGAGTTCCAGCGGAAACGCGCGAAGGAGAAGGCGAACATCAGGCAGCAGTTGCGCTTGTTCAAGGAGATGGAGGAGAATTTCAAGTAAGCGTGCATGGTCGAACCGGGGAGAACGCGTCGCGTGGAGTTCGTTTGTTTGTTTAATAACAGAAGTAGGAAGAGGAAGAACAGGGATGATAATAGATATAACGAACATCTTTGTAGCAACATGGGGAGCGCCGAGTGGGACGGCTCGCAGGCGCGCCGCGCGGATCCCGACGGCGCTCCCTCTTCCACCGCCTCCTCGCCAACTTGGCAGCCAGCCGGAAGCTGCAAGACCCCGCCGCGAAAGAGTCTCGAGAGGTGCAACGATTTCCATCGGAAGAGGGACTCGGGCTCCGGGTCGGGTTCCGACTCCAAGCACCGTCGCGCCGAGGCGAACGGGTACCGGCCGAACTACTACGACTGGGCGCCGGAGAACGCGTCGCACCTGGACGCCAAGCAAACCACCGTTCACCCGAAGATCGTCTGCGACATCCCGAAGAGCTCTCCCGTCTTCGTGGAGCTGAACGCGCAACCTGGCAAGTCGGCGACCACTTCCGACTCCGCTGTCAGGTCCGACAATTACAGGTGAGAGCCGGGTCGTGTTCAGGACGATCCCTGAACCCACGAGCAAAGCATCGCAACGCACGTTTCGTTCCGCAGGAAGGATTTCGCGCACGGCGCGATGATCGCCAAGCAGTCTCTCGCGAGCAGCGACAGCGAACTCTCGCAGCCGAACACGAGGCCGCAGTCCAGGGAGACCGGAGTACAAACGAAAGCCCATCGATCTAGGTACGTTCAACGGTGTCCCCGATGAATCCTCGAGATCCCAGACACCTTGGAGACCCTAGGAATCTTTGAGATCCCCGAAGTCCCGGAGATCCTGGGAATCCTAGATATTCCTCGAATTCTTCGGAAAACCTAGAACTCGCGGGGATCCTCGATCGTGAACCGCGCACGGTGTTACCGGGGTTTCGAGCGGGCGTAACAGGTTCAATTCGAACGCCTCTAGTCATTCAACGGCGCTTCGGTAAAGCGACGCGCGGGAGGGGTTCGCGGGACGAGCGACGCGAGCGCGTAAGAATCTATTTAACCGGGGAAGCCGTCGAACCGACGTCCGCTCCGGTCGTTCTCCCAACGAACCCGGGCAGGAAGGATCGCGCGGACAGTCGCGAGCCTTTCCCGCCGACGTCGTGGACGCAGACAAAACAGCGAACGAACGTTGAACAGGTCGACCAGTCGGGAACGATGCGAAGACGCGGCGACCTCGGAAGAGGAGACTCCGGTGGAGCCGGCGAAACGACCGAGGAACCCTGCGCACGATTTCACGCTGAGCGGGCTGCGACCGTTCACCAGGAGGAGGACCTACCGACCGATTTCCTTCGACCCCCGTCCGTCCACGTTCGTCCCGAGCTGATCGGGTTCGGCAGCCACAGCGAGCCAACGGCTCCTCGAACCAGGAGGGATTTTTTCTACGTCATCTTGTTGCATCATTTTCTGTAATAAAGCACCGAGTACTTTGTTGCGTTTGAATGTCACTTTCATTTCCCGCTGTCGCCACTGCGCTCCGCACGCATGCGCCACCGCAGACGCGCGTGCGTGCTTCGGAAGGTTCGATTAGAGGTAGCGAGCTAGCAACGGTGACCGCTATGAATCCTAATATCAAGAAACATGCGTCCGGCAGTAGAATCGGCAGCGACGGCAGTCGAGGAACGCCTTCCAGCAACTTACTGTATATTCAGCAATTTTTCTCTTGTACCACAAGTTCGCCGATCCTTCAGCGTCTCTATCGTTTTCAGCCGTTCCGAGTTTGAATCCTTATTAGCGAGCAGCGATGACGAGCAGGTCTTCGACGAAGCTGCGAGCAACGTCCCGTCTACTTCCGCTGGTAGATTTGGCAGCGGCGAGAATCGAGGCACGCCGTCCAGCAACTTACTGTACATTCAGCAATTTTTCTTTCGTACTGCGAGTTCGCCGGTCCTCCAGCGTCGTTACTATCGTTTTCAGTCGCTCCGAGTTTGAATCCTTGCTAACGGATAGCAGCGATGACGAGACGGCCTTCGATCAGAATACTGCGACTAGTCAACGACGCGGTAGCAGTGGAGCTGAATCCCGACGTCCCGGGAGGGAGGTTTCCGAGTTGGATGAGCCAGATGAGGTGGGTATATTTGTGGACGAAGCGTTGCGAAGTCAATATTTACACTCGACAATATTTTTCATTAAAAACACAATTGATTATCTTCTATAAATTAAGAGACAGAACTATTTTACTTTGATGTTTTATGTGTCGATACATTACGCAAGGTTTAATATTGAATTGAAAATTCTATAAGTTCGCTGCGTCGAATCAGGTGGCGACTAAGGCGCCCCCCGAGTGCAAAGGGTTAATGGACGGGACATGTAGATTTATGTATTTTCATGTTAATAGTTTATAAAACACCGTAGCGAGAAGTACTAGAAATGAAAATAAGTGGTTTCTCGGAATTGTGTTAATAATGATACTAAACAAGTCAGCAATTTAAAAGAAGTTTCATTTGGAATACTGGATATTCAACTTCACAGTTTTGCTGAATTAAATCTCAGTCACCACTCGAGTGCAAAGGGTTAATCAGCAATGATTCAAGGACATGCTTGCAGATTTATGTAATTTCTTCAAAAGTGTTAAGATAGGACATAGAATCTACGAAGTCCGTAAAAATTGATGTCGCAGAACACGTTTCCTTGCTCGTTTCTCCTGCTACATTTTGACGACTATAACCTCGAAAATCGCTGAAAGACTGAACGAAAAGGTCTTTCTTTCCTATCTGCGTCATAGGTGATTCTTTCAATGGTTTGGAAGAAAGATCGGCTCGGCGCAGCCTGCTACGACCTAGCGACCTCCGAATTGCGCGTGATGGAGGACACGAACGACGACTCGGAGGGCTTCTACGTGACCAAAGCACTGTACAGGCAGTGCAGACCGCGTTGCCTGGTAACGATCGTCGGATCGCCGGCAGTTTTCCTGAACGCGTTGAAGAGAACAGTGCTCGCAGCGGAATCGCCGAGCGAGCGATCGAGTTCGCTCGGCTCGGAGGACGGACCGTGCTCCGCGAGCCTAAAGACCCTAAAGCTCGTTTGCAAAAAGGAGCACAATTACGAGCGATGTTTGCAGAGGGTGAGAAGCCTGCGGCTGTCGTCGGAGCCGAGGAACGCGAGCAGCACCGACAGGATCACCTTCTTGAACAGCATCCTGAACTTCGCCTGTTCCGCGATGATTCACGCGCTGGGATCACTGTTGCTCTTCGTCGACAGACACTGGAACGAGATCGCTCTCGAAGCGTCGGGCAGACCCACCTTCAGCTCTCTCGATTGCCTCGCGCTGTAAGCGATCTCCCGCCGTTTTCTCGCCCATCCGATTTCCCTGTTCGCATCTGATCGTTTCTTTGGGTTTTCTCTTGCTTCCCGGTCAAGACACGACCTGGTCACTCTGGACGAGGACACGTACAGAGCACTGAACATCGTGCAGGCCAGGGATCATCCGAGCTTCTTCAAGTTCGGCAACTGCACCACGCAAACCGGTAGCGCGAGTCTGTTCTGCTTGTTCAAGCGGTACTGCCGTTCGCGACCCGGTGTTCGGTTCCTGTGGTAAGACATCTAGCAATGATGACTGATAGAGAAAATTAGGGTGCTGCTCTAGAATATTTGTAGTCTTTGTTTTAACACGTCAACCAAAATACATAAAAATGACCGAAAAACTTGAATACAACTTGATACTCTATGAGAAAAATCAATACGGTTCGTAAGCAAAATATAACCGAAATTTCCATGGCACAGAAGGTGTTAACACGTTGAATGCCATGGAGTGACCTCAACCAAATCGAATTACTATAATTCGTTCGATCGAACGATTTTCTGTTATAAGTAATATCACTTGATGCACTGACATTCGACAATACACACCTGCAATAATAACAACGTGATTCAATTGATATTACGTTGTTTTCATTTTCTATACTTGTCTCGGCAAACGTCACTCAACGTGCTCAAATGTATCTTTTTCATAACTGAGAGATGACTGCTGACATTGAGCTTGAGGATTATATATTGCACAAGTATAAAGAATGAATTAAAGAGAAAAAAAACTCATTACATTAAACGTTATCGATAGCATCAAGTAAAAATTGAGCTCCACAGTGCCTAAACGCGAGCCTGCATCTCAGCCTCGAATATCATCAAAGTCATCGGATACCATCGAACATCATGTATCTCGCTGCTACTTCCGCAGGAAAACGATGCAGCACCCGACGCGCGACGCGAACGTGCTCCAGCAGAGACTGAACGCGATCGAGTTCTTCCTGAACCCCAGCAATCGAACCGTCGTCGAGAATCTGTCGTGCTCCTTGGATCGCGTCGATCGGCTGACGAACACCGTACTAGCCTGTTGCTCCGGGCCACGAGCGAAGACGTCGAATTGGTACAAAATGCACCAGGTGAACGATCCCCAGTTTCCGGACGTCCGTTTCGTTAATTCGCTCCTCTGACTGCGATCCCGGTTCGAAACTTCCAGACTGTTTCGCGCGTGATCCGTATCGCCGATCTGTGCGAGGAACACGCGGACAGAATCGAGATCTTCAAGCGGGTCGCGGAGAGCGTGACGAACGAAGCGCGCTACGTGAAATACTTCATCGAATACATAGTGGACTTCGGAGAGAGCAGGCGGGAGAGAAAGCTCGTTGTCAAGCCGAGCGTGGATCCCTTGCTGGACGAACGTGCGTAAAACGGTCGCTTTTCCTTATTCCCGCTGAATGCTCGATGATCGATCCACAATGTCGGCCAACCGCCAGTGAACCACGCGCGGCGCGCCCTGCCCGAGCTACTAACCCGAATGGCCGAGAAGGACATGCGCGAACATCTGCCGCCGTCCGTGACGGGCTGCAACATGGTCTATCTGCCGAACATCGGCTACGTGCTGGCGATCAACAAATGGTACCCGACCCCGCCGGACGCCGCGGAGCTGCCGAACCTAGAGTTCAAGTTTAGCATCAACGGCGTGCACTATTACAAGAGCTCCTCGGCGAAAGGTCGGTGCGCCGCGCGTCTCCTGCGTTTCCTTCTCGCTTCGATTTCGGTTTCGCTCATGCGACTCGTTTCAGAACTGGACGAGACCGTGGGCGACGTGATTCTGAAGATAGCGATCCGGCAGAACCGCATCCTGCAGAAGCTGACGCGGTACGCGAGGAAGCACGCCGGCTCGATCGCGCGGGCGATCGAACGTTGCGCTGAACTGGACACGTGCGTATTATATGGTAGCTGATGTTTCCTTTCAAGAAGTGGCGGCTTGTAAAATTAGGCTGCTGCTCTAGAAAATGTTTAGCTCTCGTTTTAACTCTTTCGGGTTCTCGATGTGTTAACAATAGGTTTACGGACGTTTGTCCGGTTTATTCTGTTGTTCCTAGAAAGATTGATGTACCATTTAGATCTTGGAAATTGGGGATTTAATGAGAACGACGTAATATGAAATTCATTGAACCGTTTCATTATTATCGCACGTTTATCTTGCCGAATGTCACCGTTCAGATAGCATTATTTGTAATATAAAAATATTTACAAATAATCGTTTAATTGACCGTATTACGATTTGGTCACCGGTGACCCAACGGTATTCAAAGTGTCAAATGTTATCGATAATGTCAAGCGGAGATACTCTTGAAAACTGCTCGCGACAGTTTTACTCCAAACGCTATTGCGAATCGATTTGAAATCATTCTCGCCGATGTTCGCAGGCTATTGGCGTTCGCAGGTGCGGCGCGCGACCATGATTACGCGAGACCAATTATAACCGAGTCGAAGGTGATCGACGCCAAGGAATCGCGGCATCCTCTGCTCGAGTTCTCGACGACTTTCGTACCCAACGACGTGCGATCCGGGAGCAACGGAAGCCTGATCAAGATCTTAACAGGGCCGAACTCTTGCGGGAAGAGCGTTTATCTGAAGCAGATCGGACTGCTGTTGTTCATGGCTCACGTTGGCTCGTACGTGGCTGCGAAATCGGCTACCATAGGGACGATCCGTCGCATCTCCACTCAAATGTCCATCACGGAGAGCGTCGGCTTGAACGCGAGCTCCTTCTTGCAGAACCTTCGACAGATAAACACTGCCATTCGAGCGTCCACCTCCGATTCCGTGGTGCTCGCGGATGAATTCGACAGGGGAACGTCGGAGTCAAGCGGAAGCTCGCTGCTCGCGGCGGTCCTGGACGAGTTCGCGGCGAGGGGCCAGCAGTGTCCGCACGTTTTCGCGGCGACGCACGCGCACGCGGTCCTCGAGATGCTGCCCGAATCGTCGCTCGTCGAACTATTGGTAACTTTCGAATGATACCGATCTTGTACTTTTTATTTCGCTCCGCCGCGTATATCTTGATCAGACTTTCGAGTACGCCATCAACGAGCAAGAGTCTTTGGTTCTGCTGCATCGGTTGGCCAACGGCAGCGCGTCGAGCAGCTTCGCTCACTTGGCAGCGAGAATCGCTGAACTAGACGAGAGCGTCGTTCAACGAAGCTTACGGGTAAGCAGTCGCGACCCGAAATCAACTGGAAATGATCCCCTTTCGTTCGGGTTTCAGGTGTTCGAATCAATGAAGCAGCAGGAGCTCCCGTCGCCTGTCGGTCGACGTTGCGAGGCGTAAGGATTCTTCGGTCGCTGGATCGATGTCTTAAATTTTGTTAAGAAGCTTGTAAACTTTTTGATACAACCTCGATTTCAGGTTGCGTCTCATCGTGGAATTAGCCAAGGCTGGAGCGAATCTGGATTTGGAACAATTGAAATCAGTGCTGCGAAGAATTATGACGCTTAAGTGAATCGGTCGAAAGGAATCAACAGAGATGAAAAATATGGCTGTTATCGATTTTTAACAATAAAGATCGAGCTTTCAGTCGCTTTTCAAAGCTTTTTATCCCAATATTTCACACATCGATGCATTATATACAGTTGAATATCAAATTTTATAGTTTTACTACATGAAATCAAGTGGTGACTGAGAGTAGCCTCTCAAATACAAAGCGTTAATAAAGGCAAATGATTTTGAAAATTATTATTAATGATTTACTATCACAGTAGTCATATCACGCTATGATCTAGCTACTTACGTTACTAAATATTCTTATTTAAAATCAAGCTTTTCATTCTAATTGTTCTCCAGTAATTTGGAAGCTCTTGTCATCGTTGACCACCGTGGCAATGGTGACTGAGAATCACCTCTCGAATGCAAAGGGTTAATAACAAAGGCGAATGATTTTAAATAAGAATATTTAGTAACATAAGTAGCTAGATCATAGCGTGACATGACTACTGTAATACTAAATCATTAATAATTATTTTCAAAATCAAGCTTTTTATTCTAACTGTTCTCCAGTAATTCGGAGGCTCCAACCATTGACGACCACCGTAACAGTCAACGCGTCAATGCACCGACTCCAGTACCGACCGAGGCACGTCCCCCCTCCTCTTAGTTCGCGCATCCCCCGTCAGATGGACGAAGGATGCGAGTTTTCGCAACGGACATCGTTGCGGCGGCCCGATCAGCAATGGCGACAAGGAACAACCAAGGGGACAGATGTCGCGGCCGTCGTCCGTTCGACCGAAAGTTGGCGCTCGCAGTCTTTCCGTTGTCAATAACGGACGCAGTGTCCCGGCACGAAAATTGCGGAAACGTCTCGTTTGTTCGAGTTGTCGCGGGTTCGCCTGGGCTGGAAGATCAAAGAAAAGAAGACGCGTCGCCGCGCGTGACACGCGAGCTACCGTTCGAGGATCCGCGAAACGGGCGTGCCTTGGCCACTCGGCGACGTCCCCCGCGCGAAAATACACGGCGGCGGCACGGCCGATTCCGACCGCGACTGCGACTGCGACGGACGGCACAAAGGGGACACGACGAGGACGAACATTTCGCGAGGAGCCGCGCGAGAAACGCTTCAACGTCCACTTCGGCGAGCGGAGAGGCAAAACGGTGACGTATTCGGTAACTGGTACAGGAACAGGTACAAAAAGCTCGATCGCCGGATCAGGAACAAGAACGGGGACGACGCGTGAAAGGAAAACTATCGCGGTGCGGAACGGGCCGAGCCAACGCGTCGCATCGCCGCGCAATTTTGAATACGAACCAGCCCGTAACTGTCAACGGTCGGATTCGGAAGATTCGCGAACGGACGGCGTACCGCTGAGTCTCGTTTGCCACGATATCGCGGTCGTTCGGTTGCCCGGTGAACAGCCGGCTATTGCACGGTGCTGGCTACGGCGCGAGACCGCCGCTAAATGACCATGGATCAGGACATGTACGACATCGGAACCGGATGCAGCATCAATATCAAGAGAACGGACGGTGAGTAGATTCGCGCACCGCGGCTCTACGCTGCTCAGGTATTTTTAGATATTTAGCCTGACCGATCGGGAGGGTTTCTCGTGCCAACGCGATGCGATCAGCCCTCGAGCACACTCGTCCCGTCTCGCCTCGCCTCGCCTCACCTCGCCTCCTCTCGCCTCGCCCTCGTACCGACACGACCAGCCTTCTCGTCTACGTCGCGGCGACAATCAACCGCCAGAGTATGACACCACACAGGCTCTCGGCCTTAAACGAACATCGTTGATATTCGCGCGTGGGTCGAGCTGCGTTACAGAAACGCTCGCCGAGGACCGGTTTCGTTCTCTCGCGAGGAACTCGGAGGGATCGCGAGGATATATTCGAGTCCGTATTACAGATCGTTTGTTCCTGTCCCCTCGGCCGATCGACGAATCCGCGATCGCGTTTACGCACACCTGTTTACTGTTCCTCGTCCTTGCCGCGCGACCGACGACGCACTAACAGCGGAGTCTCGTTTATCCGGGGCAATGTGGCTGCCTCGGGGAATTCGGGTTAACCCTTTGCACTCGAGTGTTTCGTTTGGAATATATTCTCTAATCGGAAGCGGGCAGGATTGTTTAAACCGTTCCTAACGTGGGACGTCTGATCTTTAAGGCGATTTGAAATATCAGTGCATCGATGTAGCAAAGATATAATATTATAAATTGTAGATTTGTTGCATAGGGGGCATAGTTTTGGTAGGCTTAGGTGGGGCATGCCACGAAAAAGGTTAGGAAACCTTAACCCTTCAACGGATGTCGACATTTCGGAGATCGAATTTTTACAGTTGGAGCACTGAATAATAAATGATTTAGTTACTCAAACAAGAGATTACGTAGTTTCCTTTTTTTCATTTTTAGCGATGTGTAATTTAGCTTCGTTTGCTGAAGGTTTTGTATATTTCAAAGGATCTTCGTCTGAGGGTTGGCACGTTGAACGCCGTACGATTTCATAGAACAAAATAATCGAAGGAAATATAATGTTAAATCGTTTGATTGAATTGCATTGTTATTATTGCAGGTTCAGAACAGAAATACAGCTTAAATACGACTTATGGTTTTTATAAAGAAATTCGTGAAAGTCAGTTACTTCGTCGAGTGATCGGGAGTTCTGGTGTTAATAGAATCGTGAGAAATATGTTGACGGTATTGTACGATCGAGTTTGACGGATTAAATGTTTAATGTACCTTTGAAGGGCACATGTAGTTGAGACGAGGAATGAGGTTATGCTTTGTCGTTTATGCGTGGACCTCTTCGCCGCTGCGTTACGCGCAGGCTTTAAAATGAAATATCGGCATGTGCGACATCCTCCTGCTATTCAATTGATGATAGACGTGACACAAAGAGAAGAAACGAGAAAGATATTAATATCAAGGGGCATGCCCGTTGGAACGCTCTGGTAATGGTTATTAACGATAGAATTACCGAGTCGAAATGACTGGTTTCAATTTTTTTATTTAGCAATTATTATCTTCGAATAACTTCGATATTGAATATTCGAAATGGTTTTGAAAATAAATAGTTTCATTTGAGCGCTATAATGAATGCCTGAAGAAATTGAAAATAATCTGTTACAATTTTTATAGGAATTTTTGCTCATGACTATAACAACATCTATGCGGTACAAAATTAATAAATATCCACATATGAATGCAAATTAACAATGTTATTATTGCAGGTTCGTCTGGCTGAATGTCACCACGTTAGTTAGCATTATTTATAATATAGAAATCTTTTCAAATAATCATGGTTTAATTGAGTGAACTGTAGTAATTCGATTGGGTCACCGGTGACCCCCATGGAATTCAACGTAACACGTTCTGTGCCATGGAAATTTCGGTTATATTTTGCTTATGAACCGTTTTGATTTTTTTCATAGAGTATCAAGTTGTATTCAAGTTTTTTGGTCATTTTTATGTATTTTGGTTCTCGCTGCTTTGTAACGCCATCCGTGACCGTTTCTTAAAAATATTTTATTATAGAAATTCGCGTCCACCATGTATGGCACACGTGGTAACCCTTTGTACTCGGAAATCTTTCATTAGTAATATTCAACATTTTTCAATGAGTTATAAACGACGTTCTTCGAAACGAACTTAACGTTCGCTACCAGCATATTTGTAACGGATCTAATCCTATATTTTACCTAATGAAAATTAAATGAATCCTATAGGTATTGTTATTAGAAATTATAAACTACGACGTTATATTTAGGAACTCGATGGCTAGTTTGTTTTATTTTTCTAATATCTTGTTTAGAAGATTGATTGGATTGGAGAAAATATTATAATTGAAAATGAAATGAATCCTATAGATATTGTTATTAGAAAATATAAACTACGACGTTATATTTAGAAACTCGATGGCTCGTTTCAATCTGATTTTTCTAATATTCTGTTTAGATTTATCGCATGGAAGGAAATATAATTGAGGAAACCATCACCGAAATAAGCGCTGGTAGCGAACGTGTTAATGAGAGAACATACATAAGTTAAGAAACAAAGTAATTACTTCAATACCCCACATATTTTGGATTACACGAAGCGTAACACATTGTACGCTGCACGATTTCATACAGGAAAATACACAAAATGGAAGAAATAGAATATCAAACCATTCAATTAAATTGCATTATTATTATTATTGCATTATTATTATTATTATTGCATGTTCATATAGCTGAACGTCACCGCATTAGGTAGCATTATTTCTAATATACAGATCCTTTCAAATAATCAATCATAGTTTAACTGAGTGAACTATAGTAATTCGATTGGGTCACCGGTGACCCTGGCATTCAACGTGTCAACACTAGAAATACCGAGCATTTGATGTAATGAAATGTAGTCGCTATGAATATTGTAGTAATAGACTATTTTCGGTTTCTTCAGACAGTCGTTATAGTATTCAAGTGAAACTATTTATTTTCTAAATCATTTCGAATATTCAATGCTTCGAAGATATCAATAATTGCGAAACAGAAAAACTGAAACCAGTCACTTTGACTGGTAGTTCTACTGTTAATATTGTGTATACTTTATAATTTTCTTATATCAAATCAAATGGTGACTAAGAGTCACCTCCAGAATGCAAGGGGTTAATAATAAATCGGATCAGACGACTATAAGGAGATCATGAAACTATTCTCAAAATCATTTCGAATATTCAATGCTTCGAAGATATCAATAATTGCGAAACACAAAAAAAACCAGTCATTTTGATCAGTAGTTCTAGTGTTAATATTCTGTATACTTAATAATTTCGTAATATTAAATCAAATGGTGACTAAGAGTCACCGCCAGAATGCAAGGCGTTAATAATAAATCGGATCGGACGACTATAATCGCGAAGGAAATCGTGCGTGTAACCGAGACTACATTGTATTCGTTTCCCTCCAGAGTTTTTTTTTCCTTCGGATTGCCGCAGTGCAGCGCGGATGCGATTCCTTCGGCGGACCTAGCTGGAACATGGGCGACAGACCTATCCTTTCACCGCCTATCCGCACAACGAGACCAGAACGGAACGCGTCTTCCTCGAGTCATTGATCGCGGTCTTCTTACACGCTCCAGATTTTGCGCTAGTCAATTTCGCATCTCTGCAGATGTTCGATCTTCATCCAGCCGATTGCAGACTTCGCAACGAAACGACTTGCAAAGTCAGTGGGAATCGCATCGATTCGGCTGACTCTCTCTGTCGCCCTAGCGGTGACGCCGCTCGGTATATACGCGAACCATTTGTTTTTACGGATCGATTGGAAATTGGACGAGCCACGCGGAACCGGCACGGTATCTCGTGTTCCTCTTAACCCTTAACTCTGTAGGCTCCAATATTACACCAGTTGTAATATCAGATATTTTAATCAATCAAAGAAACTACCCTAAAATTATTCGATTTTCAACATCCAACTTTTCTACTGAGAAAGAAACTAAAAGATCGAAGGAATGTTATAGCATTTTTCATTTTCATTAGAGATACCATAAAAATTAATTGCAGTTGCTGATAGGTTACAAAATCATCTGGAGTGCTAAGGGTTAACATACATCCTCGAAATTTTGAGAAAATGGAGACAAGATTGAGAACTATTGACATTAGCAGAACTCCCGAAAACCTCGATTAAATTATTAACCGCAAAGTAGCCGTATCGATTAGAATCGAGAAAGAAATCATAGGCCAAGGGGTTAACACTAGATTTACGGAACCCGTCAATTTGACGGATATTGAACTTTTCAAACATTATTTAGTAATAGTTTGAGTCGGTTTTGATTCGTGCAATTACACGAATGTGCATTGCAATGCTCTAGTTCTGAAGCTACGATTTTCTCGATTTACATAGACGTAGTTCTCTAAGACAATGGAATAAAGTGTAGAATAAACGTCCGTAAATCTAGTGTTAACACATTGCGTACCCATAACGAGAAATCTCGTTTTTTCATAAGGACACTTAGCTACACAGCTCCGCTAATTACCACAGCATTAAAAAAAATATAAAATTTCATTCGAATCGATTATCTATTTAAAATCTATTACATAACAATATATCTGAGTTTTTCTATGTATAGTGATATAAGTTAACCTCAGTGAAAATTGCCATCACAATTCAGTTTCCTAAAAACCAGCCGGTACGCAGTGTGTTAAGAACGGTTCGAGATTCGCGCGGCGGACGGAGTCGTCGACGATGCGGAGTTCGCGATGGGACGAAACGCAACGCTATGCGACGCGACGTTCTGTGACGCAAACGCAACAAGTGGCTGGCACGGTAAATCTGCGCTGCGTCTTGGTCCCCTCACGAATTTTCGTGACGTCGTCGGTGGTTGTCGTTTCGTCATATTTTTGCAGCTGACTCTTTTGCGGACGAATCTCGGCACTCTAGCGAGGAGAAATTGTATTTGGAAAACCAAGTCGCGAACGAATGATTGAATTAGTCGAACAACAAGAGATCGGCATGTAGTTTCCTTCTTTTCCTGTTAATTAAGAAATTAGTGTATTATTTAGCTTAATCTGCTGAAGGTTTCGTATATTTCAAAGAATTTTCGTCCGCAAAGGGTTAACCCTTTCCGCCATGGCGACCTTATACAAGACACAGTAAATAAATGATTGATGGAAATTCGGTAAATTTGTTTGTAAACGTTGTTCGCGAATTATCGTAACCGTAGATTCTATTTGACAATGGAATTTTGAATGGAAGAGCTTCTATTAAATTGTGTTATTACTAGACTGATCGTTATGCGAATTCAAATTTTTAATTATTTTTAATTAGTTAATCGTGTTAGACGCTCGGTAGTTCTAGTGTTAACTACATGCTATCTTATCTTGCTATTGACTATTTACGACAAGAAATTGTTTATGTTGAAGGGCGAGGCGTTGATTCTTGTTACATTGAGATAGAAATCTGCATCGTGAACGTCATTGCAATTTATCATCTGTAATGAACACAGATTGTCGAACCACAGTATGTTGATAATATCGACAGATTTTAATCTGTCAAGATACGTATCCTATGCTCAGAAGTTCGAGATAAGGCGAGTGAATGGAAAATAAATTGGCACGTGTAGCCATTCCTAAGAATAATGAAATAATCTAGGGTAATTCGGGGTGAGGTGGCTCGGGCACAAGATTGTCGAATCTTGCACGTAGATCTATTTAACTGTTCCTCATATAAAAATGTGTATTTGTGAACAAAAGAATATATATTATATATATATATATATTTTTGTCTTTATATCTATAATATATATCTATAACATATAATATATTTCTTTTTTTTCACAAATACACATTTTCTGTAAGGTAGCATTGATACTCACAACAGTTTAACAAAGACTAGGCCACCACCGACTCGCACTATTCGTTGGCAAGTTGCCCTCGCCCATGGCCAGTGGAGCAAAACGAACATAAGCAAATTTTCGCGACGAATCGATGTGCCGCGCGAGCCTCGTTCGCCGGAGAAGGATCCGCGTCGCGGCCGTCCTTGTCCGAAAGCGAGCGCGTGGTCGGCGAGACGCGCGCGCGTGGGCGCTGCATCCTTATAAGGACGTCCAAGTCGTAAGATTCCTACCGCGGCGAGTCTTGCCTTATATCTTATCCGATCTTGCGTCATCGGAGGATCGATTTTTCTCGAGAAAAATTCATCCTATCGCCCGGTTTCGGCTTTCCGCCGAAAGGCCCGGAGACCGGCGTACGGATTCGCCTCGCGATCGAAGTCGCCCCGATTTATCGGATTCACGTTGTTGTCCGTTGCAGGTCGTGTCCACTCGGCGGTCGTTTCCGGAGTGAACTGGGAACAGCGGACCGTCACCGTGGAATGGTTCGAGCGAGGGGAAACGAAAGGAAAAGAGGTAACGATCGATGCACAGAGTGATTCCAGTTTCCTTCGCTTTTTCCGTCCTGGTCGAATGCTGTAACCAGTTTCCCTGGGATTGCGCGTACGCTAGTACGAATAGCGCAATACCGCTGGGAAACTGAGTTAAGAAGTCGTTCGAGTTTCGCGGGAACGAGCACATACTAACGAAGACGAACGGTTACTGGGAAATCAAGCCTTAGAGATGGCCAGCAATTGGACTGGGGTCGGCAACCCGCGGCTCCGTCTGAAATTCCTGGTTCCAGCCTAACGGAAACAACTAGATTTCACCTTCAATGAATCCAATTAGCCCTTCGCACTCGGAAGTATTTCGTTAGAAATCAACACTTTCCAACTAGACAAAAACGATATTTGTTCAAATGAGCTCGAACAGAAATCGCAAGTTGGGGAAGCTATTTCAGCACATTTCAATATTAAATATCAAATTTTATACCGCAAATCAAGTGGCTGGCTCACCTCCCAAGTGCAAAGGGTTGATACTTTTTATTTACGCTTTCATTCTTCAGGTTTTTAGAATCTCTCGAATATATTTACGGGCAAATGCGAGTACGTTAGAAACGGTTGCTGACCCTTTAACGGGACCATTAAGAACATGTTTGTGATCTCATGTCCTGAAGAGAAACACGTTTGCTTTTAACACTGTTTCTACTTAAATTTTGATTGGAAATTATGTTCCTAGTTTAGTCGTGTCTAATTGAATTTTACTGTAGGAAATGTTCGAAATTCAATTGAGGAAAGACGACTAAACCGAGAAAGCAGTTTTCAGAAATTTCACGAGGCGTTTGACACTTTCGGTGGAAACAGTGTTAAAAAGGATATCCATCGATGGATCCCTTCCCGACTACGTAAACCTTCCGCGTGATTTCCAGGTGGAGATCGATGCGATCCTCGCGCTGAATCCCGAGCTGGCTAACCAGAGGACGATGGCTCCGCCGCCGCCGCAGTCGCAGCCTCAGATGAACAACCACGCCGTCGTGTCCTCCAGAGCAAGGGTACGTGTATGAACTTAGCCGGCCACGGCCAAGTTGGATCCGCGTCTAGTGATGGGTTACCAAGGCTTCGAATCGTTTGGAATCTGCACGTGCGGCGGAACGTTCGAATCACCTCGAATAGGATTAGTTACCCTCCGACTCTTCAGTGTCTCCGAAAACAGTCATAAGCCGTGGAAGACGTGCGCAATTAGCGATAACCTACCAAGCGCTCTCTTTAACCTCTCGACGATCAAGAAACCAAGAGGAGACGTGAGAAACGAGGCACGGAAACGAAAGACAACGGGTTGTCAAGACAAACGCATTGGCTCCTAATCTGCTCAAAATCCCTAACTCCGGGCAGCCTCTATTCAACCGTGTCCGCGAAACTCGCGCGCCGCAAAGAGAACCGAGTAGCCTCGGCTCGACTCGAAGTCTCGAGACTCCCAGACCACTGAACAGCTGAACGTTGCCGAATCCTATTCGAAGTGACCCGCATCGGCCAGTCGGGAAAGCGCCGAAACCCGAGACAGTGATCCGAGAGCCCATCACTACCCGTCGCCTCGCGTCGCGGGAAAACCGCTCTCCTCACGGCCATTCCGCTCGATCGTCGCGGTCGGATTTTCGCGGGGCGCGTCGCCTCGGCCCCGCCTCGGAACTCGGCTTTC